GAAAAAAAGGATAAAATCTACCTTTCACACACTCTTGAGAAGTTACTTGGAGATATTCTCCAAAAAAAAAAAAAGGAACCAAGAAACTAAGAAATCTAGAAATTCTGTGGATCAGACCCACTAGAATGCACCGGAAAGAGCAGGGAAGACAGGACTCCAGAAAGGAAGGCATCAGTCAGGAAACAGATTCAGGAGATTTGCTATTGAAGGCAAGTATTTAGAATGTGAGCAGCTCACAAAGATAAAATGAAGACAAAGTAAGGAAAGCAGTAAGGTAATAACTCAATTGAAAAACCTGAAGCTGAGTGAAAAAAACCCAACATCATCATATCAGAATACTAGCTTTTAAAAAATATTTATATTAATAAAAGTGTAAGGACATCTATACATTTTCACCATATAGAGTCAAGTTTTAGCCAATTTATTTATGGTTATAGAGTAAGAGATATATCCTTCTAACACATTCCATACTAAAACTGTGGATGGTGGAAGTTATGAAAATAACAGAAAAAGAGTGACAAAACCCTTATGGATATTATACTGTCTATAGTAGATGATACTGGAATAAAGCATAGTGGTATTATTTAATGTTATTTAACATTGTGCTATAACTGTTGAGAGAAAGCATAAGTTCGGCTGAAGTAAATGAGATAAAATTTCTTCTATCATATCAGAAATATATTAGGGAGGAAATAAAATAATAAATAAGCCAATTATATTTTTCAAAGTAAAAATAGAAAAAATAAAGAATGACGATCTAGCAATGGAATGGTACATAACCACGAAAATTATGAGTAACACTTCATATATTTCAATAAAGTACTCTTCTAGATGTTATTAATTTTAAAAATCCAAAACAGTATTTATACCTACTACACCACTATTTCTGTAAGAAAGACTAAAAGGTGTGTTTATGTGTATGGGTGTGTGTGAGTGTGGCTGAAATGCTATACAAGACACATTATCTCCTTCAGGAGTGAAAAATCAAATGCTTGAGGAACAGTAGTAGAAAGTTATCCCTTTAAAACTTTCAAATTTTAAACTACGGGAATTCACAGAATATTCTGAAAGTAAATATAACTTAAATAAATAAAAATATGCAATTCCTTTTGAAAAGAACCATTAGAGGTAGAGAAAAACCAAAGAAGCTTTATTTTTAATCATCAAACCCTCAACAGAATTTGATTCTTTTAACCTCTGTCCACATATTATATACACAGTCTGAATCATGGTTTTCCAACTATTGCCCGATAGATGGATTTTTGTTCATTTTTTTCTAGTGAAAAAAACTTCTATGAAACTTGTGCTGACCCCAGTCAACCTCTCCACAGACTCGGGTCTCCTATGGGATTACAGTAAGACAATTTACCCATGACAATGACAATGTTTTTCTTTCACACTTTATAATTTCATCATATACCTGTCCCCTCCACTACAGAGCTCCATCCTCTAGGCCAGGAACTATTCCTCTTTGTTGTCTCCAGGACTTCAGCATATTCTTTTGAACTCAGTGCTGCCTGCCATTTGAATGAACTGCACCCAGCTCTGACAGGGTCAGTCTCTTCCCCAAGTAGGGAAACATGCCTATAACTCAGGAGAGAGTAGGAGCAAGCCTGGCATATAAAGATCAACTACTGAGAAACAGGAAGCATGGTGCAGACCAGAGAACAGTGTAGCTAAGTTAGCGTGGGGCTGGAAGTGGTTCACATTCTTTCTATCATTTCTAAGTCAGTGCTTGAGAATTCAGCTTGTGGAATAACCTTGTCTACAGTTCAGAGACATAAATGAGTGATTCTGAAAAATGTTACTGGAAATGAAAAGATGGCTCCATGGGGTAAAAGCTGAGAAGCTTCTCAGGAAAAATCACAAACATAGACATTATGGAAACAAAGATGATTACAATTACAAGTATTTAGGTTCAGAGTCAAAGACAGGCCCCAAAGTGAGAATTCAAGTCAAAATCATATTGGCTAAAATTAAGTATGAGGAACACAAAAATCATAAAAGGAAATTATTTAACAAAATCTGAACTGATTTTTCCACCTTTGAAACAGCAATTTTAGGTTATTTGCCATAGATAACCCTTCTCCAGAAGGGTTTCATGAGTCCCCCGCTTTGGCATCTTATCTCATCAACTTTCCCTCTTCTTTCTACAATTTCTCCATCTCACTAGTTTCTAACCAAGGCTTGTATACAAAGGCTCAGCCTGCTCTATCCTAAAAAATTATTCATTACTAGTCTTTTCATTACTTCTCCACAGAGTACTCAACACATGCACCTCCCTCCAGGTTCTTCCTGACCCTTTGCAGTCTTGTTCCATCCGCTGCCTCTGTGCTGCTGTTTGTGGTTTTTCTGCAGCTTAGAATGTCCTCCTGCCTTTCTCTGCCTGCAATTCCGTGTGTCCTTCAATGGTCGATTTAAGGAGCACCTCCTTCAGGACACTATTTCAAGCTTCTCCCATGACACCTCCACAATTACACACTGATAGGCCTCCCACTACCTCAGCAGCTATTATGTATAGTAGCTGCCCTCTTCCTATGGTGCCTTGCCCCCTCCACTGTGTGACATCATGCCAAGATGGTTGCTCCCACCAAAGAATAAACCCTTCTTCCCTGCATGCCCCTCTTCCTGCCTACAGAATAACCTAATACTCGCTCACCTCCTACCATCTAGTGAGGTCACCGGCTCCTCCATTCCCTAGTCACTACCTCACTCAACCCCACCTCAGCCCCTACAAACCCCACCCCAGTCTCTATAAAAGACTCTCCCTGCCCAGGCCATATTGCTTTTGTCTCTCCTTTGTTCAGAGACAGCCCGGCAGATCTATTCCCCTAATAAAGGCTTGTTGTGGCCTGGTCTGGTCTTGGTCTTCGGCCCTTTTACCTGACACACACTCTATCCCCGCAGCCAGACTCAGAGTGTTTGATGTGTGTAGCTCAGGGTGGATGTGCATGTGTTTTGCCATGATTACTCCCCACGAAGCCAACTCTGTTTTCTTTCCCAGTACCAGACTGAAAATGTGAAAAGAGATATTAGATCTTCACTGTCATTGTATTACTAGTGCCAGCACAGTATCTAGGATAAGGTAAATAGTAAGTAAATGCTTATGCATTGCTAGCCTTGACCTTTCTCCTGAACTCCACTTCTCACCATCCTTGCTGGGAAACTGTGGCTTAGCACGGATTCTGGAGGAGACTGCCTGAAGTCAATCTCAGACCTACCTCTTACTAGATGGGTCACCTTGACAAATCACTTAATCTCTATATGCCTCAGTTTCTTTATCTGTGAAACAAGGATGACAATAATACCAACTCAAGGTTTTTTTATGAGGGTTAAATGAGGTCACTCTTTAGGAAGTCTTAGAAAAGAAAGTAGTAAGTAGTAAAAAGAGACTAAGTAATGTAAGTATTAAAACAGAGTAATGACCATCTGAGTAGTACACTGCTAGTTTAAATTTTACACGTTCCAAATTGAATTGTCAATGCTATCAAGTATGTCATATTAGCTCATAACCATTAATGGTATCTGTGACCTTATTTGAAGGGAAGATCTTTACAGATAAAATCAAGTTTAAATGAAGCCATTAGGGTGAGTCAGATCCAGATTAATTAGTGTCCCTAAAAAGAGGAAATGTGGACACACAGACACAGAGGGAAGATGATGTGCAGAGATATAAGAAGAAGACCACTTCCTATAAGCCAAAGAATCTACTGGTCTAATGGGATTCTCTAAATTATTTGCTAAATTTAAAAGTTCAAAGCTCTACATATATGCTTATAACTGCTTTACTCTTTTTGGTGATCTATATTCTGCTTCAAGATCCTAGTACTGTCGGGAGCAATGCTACATAATTTTAGGGAAAAACCATTTGATTAGGCCTAGTTCTTCTGCCTACAGGCCAGCTATGGCATTCCAAGACATAATTCCATTTTGGCCTCCAGTCACTACTGAGACCTCAATGGTCCTGTGATGCTGTGATGCTCCAGGGCAAGACCACACCTGCAGGAGACACCCTGAGGGGAATCAAATCTTCATCTGCATAGTTCCTCATTGTTCTTGGATTTCTGCTGCCCCCCAGTCTTTTGTTACCTCGTTTATCCCAATGTGAGGGACTGAACTCTCTGCATTTCATTTGTTACTTTTGTTCTCCCGAGGTACTGAATAAAAGGTGCTGCAAGCTAGGGGTCTTTGTCTTTGCTGCCCAGAGCAGCACTGATCAGGCCCAAAGCTCAGCTTCTTCTTTAAATCTCATTTTTCTACCTTTACTGTATAATAAGTTAATTCTCCTTGTGCTGCCGCGGCTCGCAGGAGACTAGGACTCACTGCAGAGGTTCTAGTAATGTCCCCTTTGCCTCTTCCCTACATAGTACAGATTATATTACAGACTGTCCAAGAACTTCTAATATATTCTTAATTTGGAGCCTCATAGCTGTAGTTTAGAAGTTGATGGAAGCATAGTAGTAGAGCAAGGAAAGAAGTATGAATCAAACAAAGTCACCAAATTTAAAAACACTATGCGAAAGTGTTTAGTGTCATCACCAGTTATATTACTGTGTAAAATTAAAAAGTTGAAAGTGAAAATGAATTAATAATCTTCTGTCGGGCAAGCACAAGCATGTTAGTATATAGGGACATTGTAGCAACCACTAGAGAGTTTTACTTGTATTTCACCAAGTTTTAAGGCTTCTAACCACATAAACAGACACAATTAAAATTTTTCTTGATTCATTCAGGTCAGTAACACATTTAAGCCCCCAGAAGACTTCTTAAAATTTCTCAGGCTATATGCTTAAATGTATATTAAATACAAACTTTCTCAGCAATTAACTGGACAGTATGGGGTAAATGAGCAAGGAATTCCTGGTGCTGCCTCCATTAATATTAATGAGAGTTGTGCAGTTAATTCCCTCACTCTGCTCTTCAAGTTTATTTCCATGGGGTCCATTCTTAAATATTTAAATTTTGCACCCTAACCCCATCCCATAACAATTTTTACTTACCTCACTAATAAAGGACTTGGCTGTGGCAGGATTCATAACAAGGATGGCTCGCCTAAGAGTGTCTCGATAGCGATTCAACTCTTCTATTCGCATGGTATCAAAGAGAGTAGTGATCATTTTATTGATGTTGTTTTCTACCTTTTGAAGTGCAACATCCATTCCCTGGTGAGATACTTTGTCCAAAAATTCCTGTATGCCACGGATATCTAGGAACAGCAAAAGCCCATCAAAGTGTGAGTGACAATGTAGAAGGGAAACAAGTTATTGTACTAGTTTATTATTAATATTGAAGGTTGTATATCTGATGGAACTCTAATATGTTCATGGTTTGGTATGCTATAATATGCTCACATGAAACTGTAGGAATTATTTTTTAAATAGAGTTATTTCTGCCCACTTAGTATTCTAAATTATTTCAACTCTGAAAAATGTTGGAACAGGGTAGAGAAAGGATAAAAGGGCTATCATTTTTCCTAAAGTAAAAAAATGAAAGAAGGAAAGTCTTTTCCCTATTTTTCTTTATGTTAAAGAATAATATAAATATAACCAAGGAAAGATGTAGCTGATTGAAGATTAGCAACATTTCTCAAAATAGGCAATAATAAAATCACTAAATTAAAATTTAAATAGTAAAATCTAAATAGAAACAGTGCTTTGAGTTTTCTTCAAAGGATCTTGGGTCTCTCAGACCAAAAGTAAAATAGCTGCATTTCTGTCTATTTTGTAAGTATCTCATCATTAGCTCAGCTTGGAAAAACCTGGTAGGAGATAGTTTTCTGTTTTTTAGGAATATAGAGAATGTATTATGTATGTAAAACCAATTTTATAAATATATTTCAGCATTTTAGAAATATTACACAACAGTTTTGAATATATGATGATGTGCACTATATTTGCATGTGCATTCCCCAATCAGGAAAGTTCTGTAAAGTCATCAAATAAAAAAATAAGGGTCCATTTCACATTTAAATAAGAAAAGTAGTCTAGACTAAAGAAAATGATCATGAATTTATACTTGAATGTATATTTTAAGTAATATGTGCTTAAAATGTTACCAGTACTTATTTCTTGTGCCACAATGGATATTTATAGAAGAGATTTGAAATAATAAATATGGCTAGAAAGTATATCTGGCATAATATAATCTTCATGTAGAAGATTTGCTTTACCATTTTATAAATTGTATTTTTTATTCTATATCTATTTCATAAAATGTTTACAAGAAAAAAATGATTGGTGAAAGAAAAGAAGTAAATAGCATTTAGGGAGTTGCTATTAATGGTCTACATCTTTTGAGATATAGTCCTAATTCCAAATACATTCCTAATTGCATGTGACTACATGCATATAAAATTTGTCTCTCTGAAAATAATTAATTTTAAAACAATGAATAAAGCCCACAAAACAATAAAACAAATGGCTAAATATTTAGAAATAGGAATTTACTCATAACAAAATTTTATATTTGGAAGGTTACACATTAATAAAACACATTGTTGGGCTGGGGATTTAACTCAGTGGTTTCTCCACCTGCTATGCAAGCGCAAGGACCTGAGTTCGATGCCTGGTACCAAAAAAAAAAAAA